CATCCCATCTGACCGGTCTTCTCACATGGCTCTCCGGCATTCTACGTGACGTATGTTCTGACATGAGCATATTCAGCATGCCGATGCCTTCTGACATTCTATGTGGCATGTCTTCTGACAGCGTATATTCTGGCATTCTGCCTGGCACATCCTCTGACGTTCTATCTGGCATATACTTTGACATTCTTTCTAGCAATCTCTCAATCTCTCAGGTTGGGGGCAATGCTGAAAGTCTGAAAGACCGAGCTGGAGCTGAGGCAAGGAGGAGGAGAAGGAGTTGCACCTTTGACAGAATCTAGAACCCCTCACATTGCAAATGGGGAAAAAGGGGGTAGGGCAGGGAGGCTTTCGAACTTCTGCTACGTCACACTTAGATGATATATCGGACAATGCGATTTGCTTCCGAAACATGCTAAGTGTGCCTTTCATCTATTGTTGTTAAAATCCAATAATATGGTAAGGCCAAACTCCTTGATGTAAAAACAAGTCGAAAAACATAAAAAAAAATGGAAAGGTCAAAGTCAAACAAAAAGTCAAATTGACAAGTCAAAAAAGTAAAAACTAGAAAACAACTCGAAAAGGTACCCAAAAAGTAAAAAAAAAATAAACTTGTAAAACAAGTCAAAAGAAGAAACAACATAATTAGAAAACACCGTTTAAACAAGTAATTAAACCAATCAAACAAACAGTCAAAATATATAATTCACAAAAAACAACAGTCAAAACTAAAAAATACATTCAACAAGAACGACTCAAAAAGTTAAACAAAGCAGGGAAAACAAAACAAATAAACGTCAACAAACAAGTCGGATCTGGGCCAATTGACTTCTGTTTAACTTCACCGACTACTATGTTTACATATGTTTACTATTTTTGCTTTTGAACCATTGAAAACAGGTTCTCTCCAGCGAGAGCTTTGTATAAATCTATTGGGTTTGCATGGTTTAGTAGGACAAGGGTGGCGAAGCAACCTCCCAGACTCCCAAACTGCTACCACCAGGCGACCCAGGGTTTTGGGCATGCCGCCGCGTGCTTTACCTCGCGGGTCCTGATAATGCCTTCATGGAAGAGGGTGTCCAAACAGTAAGCCAAGAGTGGTCCAATCATTTGAGCCACGGAAAGGAACGATGGATAGGCGGCCAGCTTCCACATTGAGACCTAAGTTCTGCCAGAACATGCCGGATCTGCCAGATTCAATCCACCTGCAATTCTCAAATCAAGCATTCACAACTACAAACATGCATATCGCTTGTACCCTCTTTGTTTGGATTTTTAGTTTGACACTCAGCGTGATTCTTCATGCGCATAAGTTGATGTCTCAGGCGGTTTCCCATTTGAGCAAGGTCTAGGGCCAACTTTTCTGACATCGCCTGCATTCTGACTACATGCGGCCTTCTGTCGGCGAAGGACAATTTGCCAATCACGCGAGGAAACACTTCTGTTTGCTGGGGCTTTCGCTACAGTAAGTCATGGGGAAACAGGTTTGCTTCCTTCATGTCTGCCAAGCCACAATCGTCACAGTCATGGACACGTGGATCATGAACTTGTTGAACTGCCACCGGCGGACAACAATTGGCAATGCGTGAACTGAACTGGCAGGCGAAAAAACGTATCAAGTGCCAAGTGCGGCTCAAATGCGGTTGAAATGAAATAAAATGTAAACGTTGTGTACGTTCATATATCATATACCTTAGGCCACCACCCCCAAGAAAAACAATAGATACAAAAGGGGTCAGTGAACAGCAGCGTTTTTGGTGTGACAAGACCATGTTATTGAAATAGAGGTGTTCACTGATCCATTTCTCACCATACCATCCACTCATGCAGCAAACAAACACCCATTCATGTTGTTTGTGCCCTTCAGAAGGCCTGCCTTGATCAAATCCCAGAACTCAGAAACATTGATGTTAACTTGCTGAGCTTGCATCCTCAACTCACGCACATACAAACACCTACAAAAGTCATCACATAAATTCAGTATATGATATTGGAGTGGGGCCTGCAAACAAAAATGTTTTGCACGTGTTGGTACACTATGCGTAAAGTACGGGCTTGGGTCAATGATCTTTTGTGACAACTCGATGCGCTTGTAGACACCTGAGGGGAGTCTAAAGATTAAGGAGTGTCCATTTAACCAGCCCTGGTATGAGTTGGTATGCTACGGGTTTCGGATTTTGCCAAGATTCTCGAAATAATAATGTACAGTAAGTTTTTCCGCAATTTCGTACCACAAAGCCGGAAAAACTACATGAATCATGTACCCCTTCGGATTCCGACTTCAACCAATTCTGGCTTGGCTTTAGAGCTTTGATTGGAGAGACCGTAGGCCATGACATGTTGAGATATGGTCGTGACGTGTGGAGAGGTCAAATGTCCTTGCAGCTGTTCCTTCATTTGCTTTAGTTACGCAGTGAGTTAATGTCTGTGTTGTTGGACCACCTAAATTTGCCAAACTACCTACAAGCCTGATTTGGAGACTTGTCAAACCTTTTGGACCTTTACTGATTCTGGTGTGATGCGAATTATCCATACTTTAGTTTGTTGGTTGGTTAGTGGTTCAAACTAGCAAGGGGTCATTCAGGATTTGATATATATATATGTATAATGACATATATGTACTGTATCATGTTTTGTTTCCACCACAAAAAGTACTGATTTGATTGAAAAGCAAGCTTCGACTTGTGCGAGAAGATCTGGGGCGGGCCGCTGCCAAGCTTGTGATGTCAAGTTATGTCAAACTATTCGTTACATGGTTGAAAGCTTTGCATGTTTAGGTCTCCATGTCTCCAGGGCTCGTTTGGGAGGGGCTTAGTGAAAGGTTCTTGGAACCCCCCCTTGGGTACATGAATCAATGCACGTGTGCAGCTGTAGAACGTTGCACGTGTGGCTTGAGGGGTCCACCGCTACGACGTCTGCCTTGTGCAGCATGTCGATGCGCGCTCGCAGCAACTCGTCGGCATAGCGCCGGCGCTTCTGCTGCTGTCGCCAGGAGAGCTCGGCGGGTCGTCGGACTTGCTGAAGCCAGGTCCTTGGACTTAGGCTCTTGATTCAGAGAATTCCGATACGAAGAGGTGTTTCAATCCAATTTGGAGGGCTTATGAATCAAGAGTCTACATTAATGACCAATGACAGGTTGACCCAAACATAGTGAAACTCTCGGAAGGAGAACTCATTCCACCGTGGAAAAAAGGCTGACCGGTGGAATGAGTAAGATATGGACGTTCATTCACTCCGATTTCGACATCGACTGTCCCATCTCCCAACAGGCATAGCCAAAGAAGGAGGTCACAACGAATTACATCTCAACGCTACGTGATACATGGGCCAAAGACCTCTAAGAGCATGCATGTTCACTTCCCGATGATTTCATTGCTTGAATGGTCCAGTGAATCACACATGTGCGCAAATTTGCGTTGATGTCTACAAAAAGTTGGGTTGACTGCGGTGGCGCTCCCGGCCGTGATTTGCCACGTCCGTCCGTCTCAAACGGACACGGTCCGCAGACGAGCGATGCAATGGCCCGGAACCCACTCCAGCCACTCCCGGAAAGTACTCAATTCGTACATAATGGCACTATGGATGGTAGGGGGTAGGTACTATGGATATGGATATGGTACTATGGATGAATATGGTCAACTGGATGGTCACAGTTGCTGACCGTGCTGACCTGCATACGCAGCTCTTCTTCGTTTGTCGACTGAAACTTGGCGTTCCGGGCAGCAAACTTCTGCAATTAGTTGGGCGCTCCCACTCTGGAGTCCAATCCAAAACCACTGCTGGTGTCCAAGGCAGCTGAGGTTCCATACTTTTGCTAAACCAAATCTGATCTCTTCTTTGGTGTTTCTGACCTGAGCAAGACCAAGGCGCGTGCACTGACACTCACATGACACTCCTTCTCCCCGCCACTTCGATTCAAGCAGTCCCCATCAGAGTCGCTCTGGTTCTCATCCGTGGCATCACCCGAACCACCTTGATCCGGGCCACGTGCAGCAAAACGGACAGCATGGTTATAAAGACTAGAGCGCCTTGGGCGACAGCCTCACTCATGATGGCACGGCTATCTATGCTATCTTCAGGAAGCTGTAATCAAGTGATGAGAAATCACCAACCTCACTGTCTACGAAGATCATCCATCAGGGGGACGCTATGTAAGTGAGCTGAGACAAATCGATGAGTCGACCCTACCTGCTTCGTGTCTATATACCTGCGCATGTCGTGTCTACCTGCTTCGAGCCTCACTGGCGGCGAGTCATGAGAGCGATGAGCTCCTCTCACCTCTCGGTGAGAGCACTTGATCTGCAGGTGCATAGCGATGCCCTTTGCTCCGTTCGTAGCTTCTTGCTACTAATAGCGATGCCAGGAGCCCCGTTCGTAGGCGTCCCATCGCTCCTAGTTAGTAGGGCCAGGAGCCCCGTTCGTAGCTTCTTTGTTCCTAGTATCGATGCCCCTTGCTCCTAGGTCCTAGTATATAGCTTCTTGCTACTAATAGCGGTGCCCTTGTAATGTAATGATGTCTCACGACCCCTTCAGTTTCCCTGGAACAAAGTGCTCACCTGTTCCTCTTTCCACTGTTGACTCACTGACTTCAAGAAGTACAAACAGCAAAAGGATGTAAAAGTTGTGTCTCGGAATGAACTCAGAACTATTTTGGGGGGCATATAGCTGGCCAAACGAACCAATTCACTTCCTGAAGACCCAGGTTTGGTATGTACAAGCACCCTGTTTGAGAAAAACGAAGGGGTTGGGCAAACGGGCATCTTCCATCTTCTTCAACACACCCCTTCGATCAAATGAAATGGACACTATCCAAACACAAACCCCGCAACGTGCCCTACTGAGATCCAATTCGCAACGTGAGATTTGCAGCATCTTCCACCTTGTGCACCGCAGTAGGTGTAAGAAACATCTGAAATCTCCAGGCACTCAATCATATGGGAAATTAGGAAACCATAATCTCTTGGTGCAAAGAGGGCTTGAGGCGAACTCACTAGGGCCAAGACAGCAGCTGCCCCAGAGGCAGCCGAAGCATGAAGTTTCTTCTTGTGGCCGCACAAGCACATCCTCAATCCGTTCGGTCGGGTGCTGAAACTTGTCACTATTTGTGGGCTGCTGCTTTTCCAGCTGTGCAAGTCTCCCGTATTGAAACAAAAGAAGTCCAAGTCCTTCGGGCGACTGTGGAGCAAACTGTGGAGTTAAGTGTCTTTCTGAGCAGGTTATTCGAGCACAATTATATGACACAAAGAGTTGATGCAACGTGACCTTATTGGGATTATCATTTCCCAGGCTCGGGGCCATTCTGGCGTGCGCCCGCCTAGAGACAAAGGTACACACTACACACACATCAGCAACTTGTGATGCCTGGACTTGCCGCAAGCACGCAGCAAGTGTCACAAGTGCTTTGGCACCAGAATGCACCCAAACTGAAACATTGATCAGCAGCCGTGAAAAAAGGTGTTGAACATCAAAACGAAGGTTTTAATCTGCGTGGCTTATTTTACCATGGAACAACTCCGCCCATGGTTGTCTAGGTCCTCCATGTCTTGCACCCCCATATCGACAGATCAAAAAGCCCTGGAGGGCCCTCCGGTCTTAGGGCTCCAGCTCCTTGTCTTTGCCTGGAGTCTTCCAGTCTGCATCACACGGATGAGAAAAACCTCGCGCAGCTCATCACTTCGCGAGGAAGAGCTGTGAGCTACCGAGAGGAAGAGCGGTGAAGGGATGAGGGGGGGCGAATGGAGAAGCAACGTGAAGTGCACTAAGCCACTAAGCAACAACCGTACCGGTGGATGTGCCAAGTTCTACAAAGCTAAAGCACCACCCTTCGCTGCCGGCAACGGTGTTTTTGCATGTTCTTGCCAGGTCTCAGGTCGCCACGGGACAAGTGATCCTCCGCCTTGTTGTAGCACTCCGGGTCTCAGAGGTCGCGCCGGACAAACAGCGCCGGAAAAGGGACATGTTCGCGGCCCCGCGGTCCTACAGACTTCATCAAACTTCTATGACTGGGCCGGATATGGCTGTGCAGTAAGATGTCATCAACACTTACGGGCATCCTCGACTCGACTCGAGGGGCTCACCATGACCTCCCACTTCTGATGCAGCCCAAGGGTCTTGCTTCCGGGTCCGTGGTGTGCTTCTCGGCGTACCTACATCGTGGCCTGCGCCCTTGGAATTCGCTGCATTGGCAGTCAAAGACCTAAGGCCGCAGGCTTGGGGTAGGATCATCCCGGCTTTATATAAACATATCAAAGAAGAGGACTAGCACGTCATGTTTACAATAAAAACTGATTATATATATAAATTCTTGAGAAGGCCTGAAAGTTCCTCATTATCAAGTTTGGTATGTTTGATGGATCTTAAAGGCAAGAACTTTTGGGTCAGGAGGCTGATGTCTTACAGGACCCTTAATTAACCGAAAGCCCGAAAGCTGCATGACCAGTTTCGCGAATGATTTGGATGCACCAAGGGGTTTGTGGAGCATCTCTCATTCGATTTCGTGTTGCACTGCAGTGACAATCGGGAGTCTGAATGTGGTCTTTTGAGATCATGTGTGAGGACTCCAAATGTTGGACCTGTTTGATTGGAAACGCTTCTGAGTAAATCTAGCCGGGCCCTGGAAATCCAAGCCTCACTCCAGTAGCGCACAGTTCCGGCTTCCAGGTGAACCCCAGCCGCCCAATGAGCCAGGGCACTCCACACTTCAGGCTGGCCGCTGCAGTGCTGTTTTTCATCAGGTCATCCAAGCCCAGCGGGAGATCTCAGGACCCAGGACCGTCGGGCTTCCACTCGTCGGTGGACGTGCGAACGAAGAGTCACCCAGTGACTCCAGTCAGTGCCGAGCGAAAGTCTGCAAAGTGCAAGGGAAAAGAAAAACAAACTTATGGTCTGCCTGGGGCTTTTTGAACATGATTCCAAGCCGTTTTCCGCGAGGTTTCGCCGTTTTCCTGATGCGCCCCACTCACTTTCTTCTTGGTGGTGAACTCCGCGAATTCTGAGAAGTTGATGAAGCCTCAGCGACAGCGACGCGGTGCCGAGTGGAGGTTCGAGTTGTGTCGACTGCGACTCAAAGAGGCAGATTCAACTCGTGTCTTATAGAGAATGCGGCACTCAATTTCGGTGGACATGTGAATTGCCTGATTGATGACTGGGAACGCATCCAATGGTTTTCGCAGCACAAAGGTTATCACACCGAAGATCCAGGGGTCGCAGTCATTTGGGGATGCTTCTGAGCAAAATTAAGGAAGAGCTGAGCTGCTTGAGGTTAATTTGGGGGCACAGATCGCTGATGGAACATCGCGCACTCAGTGTTCGCTGAGGTGTGAAAATTATGTTTGTGGGTCGAACTGCAGCCTTCATTATTCATTGCAAAGGTATGTTTGAACTATTAGTTCATTCTAGAGCTAACATCAATATGGATTTATTATATATATATGTAGGCTTAATAATTATACAGTTAATGATTGTTATTCTATAATATATTGCATATTGGTTTAAACATGTTTAAACAAATATTGTTGCTATGTTTGCATGAAAAAATATATGTTGATATATATAATGATATATAATATACGTTCATACCTTGTGATGCATCATTCTCTTTGCCACAAATGAGTCCCAGATGGACTGCAATTTGTCTTCAAGCGGCTTTCCACATCTTTCCACCAACAAAACTGCGCAAGGGCGAACAGTTGTACTCTTTTGCTTCACAGCGATGGCAAATTGGAGCTTGCCTCGCCAACTTCCCGTCGCAACTCGTAAAAACTCGCAGTGGTATCACAGGGTGCTGGTGTCCTCCTTACACAGAACTTAAACCATCCACCAGTTGAGCACGGATACGGATACCATCGGATACCATCGGATACCACCGGATACCCAATTTACCATCGCAGTACCCAAAGGAATCCATAAAGTATCATAAAGTAATCCCGTAATCAAACACGTGGATCAATTCCAATCATACAACATCATAAAGTCATACACAGAGTGTTTCGGGGTAGGATCGTTCATGTGTCTTTTTTCCCCTACCGACTCGGCCTTTCGTCTTCTCGCCCGAAGTGGCCGTTCCCATCGTCGTCCAAGGAGTTCCAAAGATCGTCGTCCAAGTTAGGGACCTGGAAAGACCAGTGTTTGCGGAGAGACCTGGAGTCCAGAACCTGAAAATACTAGTCTTGCAAAGGAAGGGCGGGATCTATATCGTCCAATTGAAGCACGGCCTAAGTTGTGTACAGTATGTCACGCATTTGGATGGTCCACAACATCTAGGGAGTCATGCCCACAACATCTTTGAGTCCTTTGGAACTATGGCCATGCTTGAGCTGGGTCGGCAACAAGGTCACGGTCCTGGATCATTATTGTTTGCTGAAATCTCCATGATTGATGAAGTGTTGTGAATCAAAAACAGGGTGTTGCCGTGGCCTGCTCACTCATTTGGCCGTCTCTAAATGACTACTTGGCTTCTGGCCACAAGTGTCAGAAGGCGGTCTACCCGATGGTCCTTTCATGCGCTGGGCAGCGCACGTCTTGTCCCAAACGTTGGATTTCAGGCCAAACCTCTCGGCTGAGCAAACGGGCGGAAGGGAGCACACAAATCAGTGTTGTTTTTCAGGGAAACAACTAGTAGCGATGCCCGGGTTCCTAGTAGCGATACCAGGAGCTTCTAGTGGCTTCTTGTTACCAGTAGCTTCAGGAAAAACAAGCCAAGAGTGAAAACCTCTCGGCGGAGAGTCTCGGGTCAAAGGCCCAAAATGGTCCAGCGCTGGAGACTAAACCTGCACCTGGCAGGTTTGCTTTGAATCGGCTCAGGACTCAGGACGGCCTAGTCAACCCATAGCTGTATTCCTGAGCCTGGAAAAGGAACCCATTTCTAAACCGTGAGCAAGAATGTAGTCTGGCGATCTCAACAAAGAGAAGCACATCCGCCATGCCTGTTACACTATGTTACATTAAATTTGGAGACTTCCATGCATGATCAACATGTCCCAAGCTGCCTCCTGCAAACTTTGACCTCAAATACGGCCGAGAATTTACGGCTTGTTTTCGGCATGACGTATAAACTGCGTAAACTCAAACCCATCAAAACCAGTTTGACTCACTCCCATGGAAAAGGACCTTTTCCACCTTGAAGGGAAACCCCCTTTCTGCAAGGCCAATGGAAAGGGACCAACAACACCTTGAACCAACTCACTTGGTCGTCCGCTTCGTCAGCCCTGCTATCGGACCCGGTGCAGCGAATTGAACATGGGGTCGAGCGCAGTACAGCGATTAAGGGCGGTCCTTTTGGAGAGTCAAGGAAGCAAATCACTCTTTTTGGTATGCACAGGTTGGATGATATGGTTGTGACTGGTCAGGGCCAGTGTTTGAAGTCCTGCGAGTCTTGTAGCTTGGGGCAGACGCTGGTCGCGTGCGTCGACTGACGCAATGCCGTGCAAAAACAGGGCTCCAGGTGGCACCCCTGCTGCGAAAAGCATCAGTACGAGCGAACAAGCTCAACAAGCTAGCTGAGAGCGCATGCTCCTCTTGCCATTGCAATAGAAAGGTCTAGGTGCGCTGATTCATATGCGGAACTCTCGCGCTTAGATTAGATCCACTTAGTACCCCAGGCGCAGGCACGCACCACTGGAGATTCAGCAAGCCCGCCAAAAAGGCGGAGGAATGCGATGTGCTCTTCATCCTTTCTCATCCCTTCTTTATTAACACAACCCAAGAGTCACCATTCTGCTTGCCTTAGATATACATAATATACATGATGTATGTATGTATGTACGTATGTATGTAGGTAGGTAGGTAGGTAGGTATGTATGTATTATATATATATATGGCCCCGACAATCAAGACTGTAACTTCTTTGACCTTATAACTTATAAATATCTTAAAACACCTCAGAACCACCCCGTCCCTGTAGGCAACTATTATTCCAGTCCGACCGTCTGGGAAACTCGTCTGATCCCAGTGGCGTGTGGCACGAGCACGCTCAGTTCCTGTCGCTTCATCTTGCATTTCGACCCATTCCTCGGTCCACCCCAGTCAGTGAAAAAACACATGTGAGCTGCATGAAATATCATGGGTATATTGGTCAAGGATGGTCAAGGTATATCACTTGCACCCAGCGGACGCATCTTGACTTGAGATGGCATTGCTTCACCGGTTGAACAGCCATGAAAGGCCCCGTGTCGACAAATCCACTGAGCTCCAGTCAAAAAGCATCCGAATGCTCACAAACCTCGTGACGCTGGAGGAATGTTCATGTGGGCTGTGGTGGTGAATGGGTGGGCCTCAACCTTGCTCAGGGGCCCTCCCAAAGGCACTCTTCATTATTTAAACTCTATAGGGTAGATAGTCTTAAGTTGAGCCAAGTTGCTCTGGAGAGTGCCCCTTTTCTAAGCAGCATGTCAAGTAGTCCTGCAAATTGGAAGGCCAGCTTCACTTTGACAATTCTCTCTCGGTTCTTTGTGTTCCTCCCATCCGCCTCTTCATTGAGCGCCTTCCACACAGATGACACTTTGGACGCGAGCTTGGCCATGCGAGCTCGGCCCAATCTGTCCCTAGCGAAAAGTTACGTATCAGTTCTCAATCGATCGGCTTCTCCTCATCCCATGGGTGTGCCTGGTCCGTCAAATGCTCCGGGTTGCCTGGTCCATTTGAGGCGAATAGAGGCACATAGAGGCACAGCAAGCTGGCATCCGTTTGGAAAGGCCCTTAGTGTGGTTTGATGTCCAAAATGGCCGGGGAGGCCATATTTCTACATCCTGAGTGCCGGATTGATGTCCGGTTCTATCTCATCTGGAGCTTCCTTGGCCTGACACCGCCCAGTCATGCCGGCCATCATGGCCCGGCCCCTCAGGCTCCCGGCGGCGGTAGCATTTGGTGCCATAGCTACACCTGAGAGACGTGTCATCTCATCGAGAACTCCAAAGAATCAATATGCATCTGTGTATGTATGATTATTAGGTTTCTACATTATATATGTTGCCAGAAAATACACCTGAGCTCTAGTTCTCTCTGTCTCTCGCCCACAGTAGAAAAAAAACACACACAAATGGGACGCAAGATCCACCAAAATGATTTCAACTATGACTACAACTTTCAACTATGATTCAACTGTTGTCTCTCTGTAAAGAACTGTTCATCATTCATCTATCTAAGTCTGATACGTGACTACATGGACGCAAGAGGACGCAATGGACGCGACAGGGCGATCTCCGCTCAACGCCGCCGCCGCCACTGGGTGCCACCGGCAGCGGTCGGGTCGCGCCGGTGGCTTTGGTACTCCCCCTCCGCCTCAGTGGGACTGTGCTGACACCTGTGACTTCCTTGTTCCTTGGACATATAACATGGTCAATCCTTCTTTCAGCTCCAAAACGGCTAGGGAGAAATATCCCGCCGATATATTCGAGGTCGAAACAAAGAAAAAGTACATGGCAACTCGGGGGAGGGAATGTAGACTATATCTCAGCAAAGTGGACCCGCACATGCCGCACAAGTTGGTGAAACGCGTTCGTGTTGTGAAAGTTCTGAATGACGATCGTCCAACAAACTTTAAAGGATTCTGCTCACCATCTCAGTTTCCTTGCCAAACTCTTTTACCGCCTGTTGACCTTTGGCGATGCTTTGGCTTCTGACATTCGGCTCATAGTGCGCCAACTTCGCTATGGTCATCCCAGCGGCATGCCGCCTTGATGACTTAAGGACTCTTGGACCCCTGAAGCTCCAATGTGATGTAGACAGGGCTTGATCTCAAAACCGTGCTCGTTCTTCACCCTACATGTCAGCCATCCTCAGGTCACCAATTATGCCGTCACAACCAGGAAGATAGAGGTGTCTCGTACTCGCCAGCCCAGGTGTTGAAAGCATTAAATCAGTTGGTTCTTCTTGCACATTCCGACTCGTCAGCGCTAATTGCTAATCAGCTGAGGATTCAGAACCGAAGCTGGGCGCTTCGTGCTTCGGTACCACGATGTCGAGATCGAACGAACGGGTGCGAACGGTGCGAACTCGGGCACTCGAAACACCAGCGATTGCATTACTAAAATCACAAAAGGATCCATATCGCGGGACTCGGGGCGTTCTGCAAAAAGACTAACCCCAAGCCCCAGCTAGCAACCCAACCCACGCCTGTGGCCATGGATGGCCGTTATTCACGGCACCGTATGCCGAAGTGTTGAGCCAACGGGCTGAGGATGTCCAGCGGAGTTTGAAAGACAACATGAGTTTGCTGACTAGCGAATTCCGACTGCAAGTTCCCCCGTGCGGCGGTCCAGTAGAAATTGATAAATAGGAATATAGGACTTATTTAGATGCACGATGCACAACTCCAGGAAGGCCAGTATATAATTAGGTCAGAAAGAAAATCCACTGCTCGAGTCATTTTGCAAGTTATTTCGAGCTGAAGTTCTCAAATTTCCTGCTGAGCACCCGCTATTGTCTCTTAAAAAGGCCACGCGTGTCGATGCCTGCCTTGCGGTGGAACGTGACTGGCCTGAAGTGGAGCACAGGTGGAGGCACTCCGGGATTATATATGAGTATTAGGAGATACACCGCTCAAATGAATAATTGCCCCTAACTAGGAGTTAAACAATACGCAGGAGAAGCTCAATCTCATTCCATTATAATACCAGAACCCATCCCAGAACCCCATCCACATCCAAAACACCTGGAATGTCACAGCTCGGTGAAGCTAAGGCTTCAGCTGATTGGTTGGCACTTTGGATGAGCGTCCCGACCGCTTCTGTGGCATACTGCCAGCACGCCTTCATTGCGCAAGCCATGTGTGGTGAGTACATCAACCTCCGTGCTGTCACAATCTTCCATCTCGGCCTCAGATTCTGTTTCAGAGCCTATGACATCCATGACTTGAAACACCGGTCTTCCGCTTCACGCTCCGGATTCGGAGTCTTCACCCCACCACCGTGAAACGCCTCACACTGCCACATTGTGCCAAAGCTCGCCCGAGCATTGAATCCTTGGCCGATGCGAAGACAGATCTTCACCACAGAATTTGGCGGGGTGCCCAAATGCTGGTGTGATGGATAAAGAAACAAGCGTCAGAACCCCCCCAAAAAAACACCGAGCGTCCTCAGGTGTTGAAAGATGACCGAAGGGGCTGTGACATCTGAAGGATGAAACACGTCATGACAACAATACATCTCTCGGACTCTTGGATCTCTCTCGACCGAGCTGCGCGAGCTGGGAATGGCACGATATATGGCACGTGACGTGCATGATCCTTTTTGGCAGCACGCGTTCCTGTGCGAATTCCGACCTGCGGCTGCATCTGCTTTCTACATGGAGAGGCTATGAGGAGCTGGCACAGCTGAAAGCAAAAGGAGGCTCAGTCATCGCAACTTGACGAGTCGTAGATGTGGCAACTCCGCATACTGTATAGGTGCCATGCAGGAAAAAACCTTGAACCCTTTAGACGACCTGCAGTGTCTCAGTCTCTGCCCAGGGGTTCCAGGAGTCATCTAAACGATACCTCAGTGGTCCGAATCTGGAAGAAAAAGGTGGCCGCTCTCCTGCCGATAGAGGGTGTAAACAAAAGCAAAAAGCAAACAAAACATAACAAAACCAACAACGATCAAAAACTCGACGATTTGGCCGTGCTGCTGCAGGAGAAACCACAGGGTAATTTGATCTGCCACGCCATTGTCCGGCAAGTCCATGTGCCCACCATCGTAGTAACAGCGCATGATCCGCCTTCCACTGCTGCAGCTCTTGTAGTCAAAGCAATGGAAATTGCTGGTACCCCCATCCCAGTAGGTCTTGGTGGGGCTCGCCTCACTTGACTTTCGTCAGCTACCAAGGACTGGTGATGGGTGTGAACTGTTGTCTGGGTGAAGGTTGAATCGAAGAGCTTTCCATTTTTAAATATAACGACATGAGTGTTACAAGAATCATATGATATCGTATGGTGGTTCCACCTGAGAACGTTCTACTTTGTTAGTGTTCAATCCATAAACACACGCAGGGTTTGCAAACGCAAAACCTGTTGGTCTGGTCGGATTGTCAGCCGGAAATGCTTAACAATCATATGTATATAATATATACAAATAATGGATTATATTGGTTATGAATGTTGTACTTGGCCAAAACTGTGTGAAATCGGACCGCACAGTGCCTGCCACACAAACAAAGTGTGTGTGTGCGCGTGAAAAAAAAAGGACCTTAAAACATCTTAAAACAACACATTTTCGCCCTCCTGCAAACAATACACGCCCTATAGAAATTGATCGAGTTGGATCGCTTTGCTGCTGGGATTTTGGTTCCAATACTTTACGCATGAAACCACACCTTCGTTGTTAGAGCCCAGTAAGTAGGCTTGATTTGGGTGGGAATTTTAGGGACACTTTTTCCATACTTCAAGTTTTGCCCGACCAAACCACCAACAAACAACTGTGCAATGGACTCAGGTCAGTTGCTGTGGTGTCGCAATCGTGAACGGCAGCCCAACCTTGCTGGATCTTATTCAGGGGCTCGTAGATCCACTTGTTGCCTGAACCGGAAATGGCCAAAAGTGGTAGGTCTAGAGAGTGGTAGGTCTAGAGGGCTAGAAGCGGCTAGATAATGTTGGATGGTCATGGGGTTATGACGTGCCTGTAGTATCCTGTTAAGTTTTTGTTGCGCACATCTCTTACCAAAGAAAGGGCGATGCATATATTTACAAGGGTAAACCAGCTCAAGTAGTTTTCGCCAAGATGTGACCAGCCATGCGCCGCATGCGCCTGCGACTCCACCTGCGATTGGCATCACATCATCATCCCTCCCATGCAACTGGAGCATGGCGGTTTGCCGACAGTCTTTGGAATCGCGAACCAGCTCAAATTGGGCACCCAAACCTTGATTGTTCGTGTCTTGGTCGATTAAAGGCACGGGCCAGTGGGGCCATGAGAAGGTTTGTTGACTTCAAGAGCGGCAACAAACATGAACATTTGGATTCTACATAGAGCTAAAACGAAGAATCGTGTGCAGAAGGTTTCTTCTACTAACTTCAGGCTTATACCTCAAGCAAGCAGTGTGCGCACGCCGGATTCGTATATGATGCCAAGCAGCCCCGTTCACTGCCCAACGCCTACTACGCAAACGTTCTATCTTTTGGACATGTGCTCACGGGCCTTCAGTCGCAGGGGCCCTGGACAAAACACCAAGCACGCCATAGCACTTCATACAATGTCTAAAATTCAGGGATGTGATCTCGAATAGTCTTCTTCCTCCTTCCTTCTTGTTTCCGCCGCCTCGGAGACGGACCTCAACAGCAAGTGCCAGATCGCAGTGGGCACTATCGGACCTCAACACACAACACACAGAGAACAACATACAACCACAAACACAACACACCAAACACAACCACAAACACTCCTAGCACACAACCACAAACACACAACGACAAACACAAGCACAATCACAAACACACAACCAACAAACGCAATCACAAACACACTACCACAAACACACAACCACAAAAACACAATCGCAAACACAAACACACAAGCACAACCACACAACCACGAACACAATAACACACGCAAACACAATATCACACACACACACTACCACAACACACACACACACAAACACAGCACCACAAACACAACTACAAACACACAATCACAAAGACACAACCACAACCACAACTACAAACACACAATCACAAAGACACAAAGACAGCCACAAACACGCTACCACAACACGCAACCACAACACACAACAACAAACACACAACCACGATGGCAACATGCTCCTCACCATGGCATGACAACAAACGATTGAAATATCATGATGGGATCAATCGAAGTAAAGTAACTCGGCAACGGAATGTGATGGACCTCATCGTCAATTCTGCGGGGTCTTTGGGCATCTACTGTACATAGACGCGTGGTGCAACCTTTCCCGTTGCTCCAAGGCGCCATAGCCCAAAAGTGGGGAGCCAAACCAAGGTGCTACAGCCGCGAAAACACCTGGCAAAGACTGCACCAGGTAGTGCGCCAGCATCCCACCGTTGGATTCACCCGTGACATAAATGCGAGAGTGATCAATGCCTCAAACGTTGCCGAGGTCGGCCAACCAAATTCTTCGGCTCAAATCCCCGTGCGTGCTTATTATTCCATCTTGTGAACTTCTCAGCTGGTAGGAGCCTTTCTACAACAGGTGGATTCAAACAGCGGCTGCTTGAGTTCTGGTAGCTTACAAACAACATTAAGTTAATATAATTACCGGGCATATCCCTGCCGCAGCCCTGCAATCTTCCACCTGATTTTTTGAGACAGGTATCAAACAAACTGAACTGATAGCCTCGATGCAAAGAACCGCACTGATGGCTTCGATAATGGAGACGATGAAGAGCCGTTCATCGTAGCATCCGGACCAATTGCAACGACCACACTGGTTTTGCTCCCAGCATGATGCGTAGCAGTCTGCCATCACCTCGTCCCCAATGCAGGTCTGATTGTCACCTTCAAGGCATCCAAACACTCTAGACATCGCACGGTCCCAACGAAACAACCGCAAAAGCAATGTAGTCTCTTGATCAATAAGCCATCCCATGCGAAGAGGATTTTCAATTCGGTTTATTCATCGAGAGTGTACATTGTGCGGAGAAATCACAAAATCAGGTCATCTGGCGGCCGGACAGAGTGCCCAAGAACAGCTGTGTTTGGCTTCAGCCAAGCAGAACGTGCCCCCACCTGCGGTACCCACGTTCCACCCCGTCCCCAAATCAGAGCCACCAGGCACAGCGTCATCCAAGCCCTGGGGGAAAACGCTGACGAAGCCTGCGATCGCCGGGGGCGAGGAGAAAACACGACGCTGCCCACAATAAAAGATCCAGCGTTTCAGGGTAAAAACCTGCTTCATCAAGGTTCGCAATGTTCAATGATGATGATTGAGACCTTGTCAAAGGACCGTCTGAGAAACTTCCTTTTCTTCTCAAAAGGGCCTTTCTTGCGTTTGCCGCTGCTAGATGGACCTCCGTGCATAAATGTATGCCTTGTTTTCCAGGTTGTGCACCTCCAAGTGTCCTGGCAAAGGGCTTCTCGTCTACTGAACTAATGGGCAAATTCTTCCCGCCTAAGGCCTGCCCAAAGTTTCCAAAGTCATGTCCATTGGCGTAGCCTGGGCTGAGACAGCAGGCTTAGTCTAAACACACCCACACAGACATCCCTCTGAAACGAGGAATGCCTGGGTACTGAATGTTCGTAGGGGCCGTGGCCCAGTGGCGGCAAGGGAGGGGGCAAAATGCAGATCCTGGTCCCCTATCCTACTCTCAGAGCAGGATCAAGAAGTCCAATGGTTGTATGCATGATTGTTATATAAATAGGATTTGACTTGACAAGTGAGGTTTGCCACCACTGGGCTTGGCCCTGCATTGTGGTTTGGAAACTCTGGGCGGGATGTGGCACAATCAAAACACTGACTATTGGTAAAGTTAATCTTGTTTTGTGTTTCTTCTTTGTGGAACCATGATGCTAAAATATAATGTACAGTCTAAGCCAAAATGGCCTTCAAGATCAACATGTATATATATATATAAGACAGCAAAATAGCTGTTGATCAGCTCTGGATCACTCTAAACTGCTCAAAGTGATTGGCAGTTCAGAACTGAAGTTGTGTCTACTCTCAGAGCAATGTATGTATGTATGTCTATCTATGTATGTATGTATGTATGTATGTCTATGTATGTGTCTATGTATGTATGTCTATGTATGTATGTCTATGTATGTATGTCT